TTCCAATTTTTCTTTGAATAGATACTGATTTTCAAACTGATTCAAACTCTGATTTTAAACATTGTGACACTAGAACCTCCTTTATGGAAATTATTGTCTATCTCTTTTTAAAAATTCGATATTTTTTTAAGCTATATTCAAACTCAGAAATACTAAGAATCTTCTAAAGCCAAGTTGCACAATAATCAAATTATTTTTTTGAAATTTAAATTTTAGAATTCTGAAACCAGAATCAAATTCAGTGTCCTCTTTAGAAAGCAAAGTCTTTATTAAATTATTTTATTAGAAAGCTCCCATCCTCAAAAGATTAAAATTAGATTTCATAAAATTTTGTTTTTTAACATGACAGATTCGAACATGAATGGATAATAATTGCATTTTATACTGCACTGTAAAAAAAATACATGTAAAATTACAACAATTATAATGGATAATTTTAGGACCTATTATTAAAGATGTATCTTTATATAGATACACCTTTATATGTATAGATACATCTAAAGTCACAACTTACAAATAAAATTTTTTTTTTTTATAGTAATTAAACAATTGGTCAAAATAAATTTACAATTAAAGTTAAATTTATAGAAATTTTTACATTTTAATTCACCAACGAATTTCATAAAATTTTTCTTAAGTTATTTTATTGATATGTGTAAAAATATTAATATAATGATATATTACCATTATGTTATATGATATTACAAAAATTTATACATTTACATAGAAATTATAAATATACTTATAAATATACTATTATTATTGTGTAATTTTCTGTTGAACATAAAAATATATTTACACAATTAGAGATAAAAGCATTAATTTTTATTAAAAAAGCACAATTTTATACATTTCTACATATTATACCACATTTTTATTTTTCATGTAATTTTACATACTTTTCTACAATGTATGAATAAAATTGATGCGTCTCTTTAAATTATTTTGTATAGTTACCTACCTACGCGTTGCCACCTACTTTATACGGATTATCATAGAGACCATCCTCAAAGACGTTTTCGTAATGTTCATGTATTATGTATGCCATCATTCAATGTCAATGGGGAGGGGGGGAGGGACAGAACTTACGAAAATCATTTAATTATAAAACAGGAAATTCTTAATTGCCAAATAACATCAAGTCTTAATTTATAAAATATCAGATTGTATAAAATATTAGATTATAGAGTATCACAAAATTTAATAATTTTCAACAAATTGTGCAATAAATCTTTTGAAACCTTAATCATTTATTCACATCGTTCTCCCTAATATATTTATAGATTTTTTTATGTTAAAATGATATTTCCTTCTTGACGTTGTAATTTATTTCTGGCAGTACACACTGCAGTTTTATATACACATATTGAAAATAAAAATAATTAATTGAGAGATTCTATACAAAAACGAGGCGTTGTTTGTTCCACTCTAAGTCTCCACTCTAAGTATTCCATTTTGCAGATTCTAGTTTCGTTTTCCTCCATCTAAAACCCACATGAACAACTATAATGTGCTATACTATCCACACTGTGAGTCGATACACTTGCATCGATAGTATATTTTCAATTTTCTTCGGATCTCTATATCGTATTTCTGTAAATATTCGCTGTTATTAATCTTTATACAATGTAACGACTAATTATCATCTTTTAAGGGAATATATTTTTAAATAAAATCATTAATATAAGATTGAATTATTAATTTAAAATCAAAACATAATAAGATTTTGTTATTTATTTTTCATTATATCTTTCACAATCTTTTTTTGGAGAATTATCTTCGACTGATTAGCTTTACAGACGGAAGGAGTCGCGGCTCCAAGTGCCATTTCCAAGACATAATCTTCTAGCAAATCCATCTAATTCAAAATTGCACTTATAAAGTGCAGCTGCATAATACAACGTCAATATACAATATTCATGTTGCATATATTCGGATTTACCATAAACGGTATCTATCGAAACGAACGCTTGTATTATATATTTTACATTTATTTGCATATAAATGTCGCGGACTAATTCCTTGATTGCGAGATTGTGACAAATATTGTATATTTTATATTTCACATTATTACCCACATTATTTTAAACAAATGTTTATCAGTTATTTGATTATAAAGAACAAAAACGAGTTTCTGTAAGTAGTCAACAATTATCATTTGTATCTATATAATTTAACATATAAACAGCTAACTTGGTAAAATTGACTTTTCGGTGAATAAGATAAGATATTTAAAGATACTTACAAACGCACTTCGCTATTCCACTTTCCATTCTCCTCGCAGATAAACAAAAGTTCTCCGATTACCTTGTACCCTTTTTCGCATCTATACTTCGCCAGGTCCCCAATCTTGTACGAAGTCGTGCCCGTGTTCAAGTTCTTCGCGGTTCCTGCGCGAATCAATGTCCTTCTATACATTTGATCATTTCCAATAACCGAAAGAATTCCATGTTCGACCAATACGAGCTCCGGACGACGAATTTTTAAGATAAAAAATATAATACAAATACAATATACAAACGTCAAGCCAAATTTTTAAGATGATTGATATTCTTCTCGTCGCTTAATTCTAAATTTTTCTATTTAGTCTAAGTTTAATTATTTTCTCATTTCGGAGTAGCATCACTCCATTGATTGTTATCGTGATAGTACCTTCTCGAGATTCCATTCAATTTGTAATTCCACAACTATGTATATGTGATTTCGCTGCCAACATGAGTCGTATCGTTCAATCTATCGCGCTATTTAAAATCGGAAAAACCTTGCTACAATTGACATCTGTTCAATAATGATTTCAATCAATAATTTTAGGAAAGTATTATCGATATCATAAATTAAATTGTTAAGGAAATATATAGGATCTGGTAACGATAGAAAACTTTTCGACTCAGTTTAGTCCGCTCTACTCTTCCACGAGCATTATTCAGAGAATTAATTAATTTGAATTAATATCTTAATATCTGGGTTTAATATCGACATTTATCAAAAATTGCCTTACTTATTGCTTGTAGCAGTTTTACTGACAGTTTTCGATAGTTCTATCAAATTTCTATGCTCTACATTCATTTTTATATAGAACTATATACATTCTATAAAGCTGTAATTTCCAATGTATATGATTTAAACATTATTTTTTTAAATCAAATAAAATTTATTTGATTTAAAGAAATTATGTCCAAAAAATCATGAACGTCATAACTTGGATTTGAACATAATTTCTTTAAATCAAATAGATTTTATTTGAATTTAAAAAATAATGTTTAAATCAAAGCAATTTTTTCACAAATCAAAGAAATTTTTTCTTTAAATATATAGCAAAGAAAATTTCTTTAAATCGAAGCAATCTTGTCTTTGGATGTAAATAAAGGTTGTTAAAATATATTTTTTATGTAAAGATACGTGCAAATTTTCTTAATATCGTGAAACAATTTGCGCTAAATGCAGCTTTGGTTAAAAGTACTTTGGCTAAATATCTTGTTAATCATTATTTAATTTTTTAGTTAGTAAATTAATTTAAGACACTACTATTGCAAATTATTCTGTGTTTCAGAAATTTTTTAAACTTACGTATAATGCTAATCATGGCTCGTTAAAATAACCCTTATAAATTGTTTAAAATAAAAAATATAAAATAAGTTTCAGAAACTTATTTAAAATCGTAGGAATCGGTAAAAAAAACTGATAATTGTTTAAAGATTATAAAATAGATTTCGGAAACTTATTTAAAATATTAAATAAGAAATAAATTAGAAATTATTATGTAATTATTTATAATAATGAATATTAAATAACTCTTTTACTTTTAGAATAAGACGTGAATGATGCAATTCAATAATTCCAAAATAATCAAAAAAACAGTAAGGCGTCAATGTCTTATTAAAAATATTACATACATTGCGCGGATTGTGTATATAATATAAAATTCACGGGAAAAATGTTTGAGCCATGCCATTGAATGAAGCATGGCCATGGCGTATGTATTTATATATGTATATAAATACACTAATTCCAACACCTAATATATATATATGTGTGTGTGTGTGTATATACAAAATATTTCTTACCGGTAATTACAAATTAATAATCACTTATTATAACACAATTAAAATATTTAAATATTTATAAGCTGTGTGAATGCACAACAAATCTAAGAAATAAAGGAAAAACTGTGCAACAAAACATATTAATATAATTTGCGTAATTGACAATTTGATTAATTTTTCGTTTTTTTACATTTTTCGTGGTATGATAAAAAATTGAATGTAACTTTGAAACTGCTTGGTAATAAAAGAAATATTTTTTCTATTAATCTCTAGCTCATTCCATTAACTCTAATCATATGTTACAGACATCGTAATTCAATCCTTTTATATATATATATATATATATCCACTCTGTATTTATATCACAATGGTGACGAATTGACGTGTGTTTGATATTCATTTTTAAAAGTCAACTGATAATTGCATAGTACATAATATAGATAATAGCTGTATATTACATTTTTCAAATGATCTTCCCTCCCACGGGTACACCTTGACGTGGTGAGAGGGCTCAGTACCCAGAGGATATTTACACGAAAAGAACTGTTTTTCTCAAATATCTAAAAATTTTTGGATCTATTTGAATGATAGGTCTAAATTTTTATTGAGATATTGAGTAAAATTGTTCTCTTCGTGTAAAAATCCAACGACGGAGAAGCTAACGTACACTCGTCCGCCGATTTAATTCGAC